CGACGGGACACCGACTTCGCCGGTTCTCCAGCGCGCTCCTTCTCTTGGGAGGCGCACGTCTCCTCCGCCTGCTAGTGACACCGAAGCGGCAACAGGTGGGAGTGCTTCGGTGCCGGCGGCCGGGGCGAACGTCTCTGAGGACGAACGGGTTGATGTGATCCCTTCGCCAGCTCGCTAGTGGGAAGGAAAGGCTCCGATGGTCGAAGCGACTGTGTTAGACGTGACGCTTACCGCCCCGCACTTCGTTCCCGCTGACTTCGCCACTCGGCCGGAGATCGCCTCTTTTATGGATGGGGTGTGCCAAGTTATCGTGCCCTACGAAAGCCTTGGTCTCTTCACCGAGATGAACGAGTTAAGCGAAACTGTGCAGCCGTGGAGAGCTTGTTCATTCGGGTATGTTTGTTTGTGTTGTTTTTTTTACACGAAATTTTCTCTTTTCGCTTATGTCACGCCGCAATGGTTTCGGTCTCCCCTTTCTAGGGCCTTGCCGCGCACCTGAGTGCAAAGAAGTCCGCCTTGGAAATGCTGGATGGTTACCGACTTTGGCTCCGGAAAGCCGTGGACGACCTTCGCCACAAGGAGGACGAAAGGCGTGTCATGGCAGACACCTTGAGGAAGGCAAATGCGGAGAACAACTCCCTCCGTGCTGATCTGGAGGCGGCGAACAGGCGGGGCACCGAGCATGATCGTCAGCTTGCTGCGGCCGAAGAGAGGATCAGGTCTCTTGAGGCCTGCCTTGTTTCGGCCGAGGCCGCTGCTTCAACCCATGTGCCGGTGACGGAATCCGCCAAGCAAGCCTGTTACACGCTTAGGCTGGCTCTCAATGATCTCGGCACGCGCGCAGAGGGCGCCCCGGGAGATGACGGGATGGCTTTCGACTTTTCTGAGTGGACGCAAGAGGCGGCCGGCTCAGTTGTCGAAGTGGCCGGCGCTTACGGGGATTGCTGTGCTCGTGTTTCGGCAGGCTTCGTCCTTAGCCTGCTACACGCGCACGGTTGTGAACATATCAAGGATTTTCCCGACCATGTGACAGAAGAATGGCCTTTGAACTCACAGTGCTCTGGGGTGGCCTTGAAGGCCTTCCGAAAGGGTTTTTGGGAGGACGGCAGCTGGGATTGTGAAGAGGGGATTGCGAAGGACGAGGAAGCTGCTGCCGCCCACACTGGAGGGGACCCCGGGTTGTCGGAACCGGCAGCCGAACACGAGGGCGAAGGCAACAGAGGCCAAGACCACCCTGAGGTGTGAGGCCCTCCGCCCTCGTATGACTTCTTTTTTTTTGTTGGTAGCTCAGCTGTATATAGGCTCCTTGCATGTTCGGCTTTTAGCCGCTTTCGCCTTGTAACTGTTAAGACTTCTCGCTAATGGAAAAATTATCGTTTCGCCAACCTTATTATCCTGTTGGACAGTGGTATTGATTTCGTCCGGATTTTTTTTCCTTTTGCACTTGTTCTTTGGTGCTTTATTAGCAGGCTTGTGGCCGGAAAGCATGCGTTCGGCCCCCCACTGGTGATTGGCGAAAAGAGAACGAGAAGTTTGTTGCGGTGAAAGGTTTGCCGAAGGTTAGACGTCCTCTTCGGCCCGTTTACCGGGAGATGTTAATAAACGGCAACAGCTACCAAGTCGTAAAGGTTGCTTAATGGATACTCACACATCTGGGTCGGACCTTAGAAGATTATGATCGCCATCGTGTTTCGTGCCGCCAGAATAGTGCAAACTTTTGGCGAGACTTTAAGAGGCGATCGCTTGTCACCGTTATGGCCTAGTTTGTGCTTCTCCCCCCTCTCCTCTTAGGGTAGTGTATGACATTAGTAGTGATGACGAACCATGTTCGCCAAATCATTCCTTTAGGAGTGGGGATTACTTTGGGGGTGAAGATGTAATTTATTTGTAAGCTAGGCTGTGAAGCCTTTGCCTTCTATGCTTGTACCATGTTGCATGGCTTCATCCTTCGATTATTTTTTCGAAGTTAATAAAGATGTGTTTTATTCACTTTTCGCTATTTTTCGCATTGTCACCTTTCGTGCTTTCGTTAGGTCGAAACATGTCGGCCCCTTTGCGTATATTAGCGAAATAGGTATGCTGACTTTTCAGCTTTCGGCTTCCGTTTTCGATCTGTGGTGTTGTGCGCTGAAAGCACTTATGTTTTCACATGGATCGAGTATAACAGTGTTCGGTTGGTTACTTCCGAAACAAGCTGTCACGGTTTCAACGTTCGGAGAGCAATGCTTCGGTCGATTCGTCTCGCCCCCCTGGCGTTTTCGTTGATCAGGCGTTTGCCTTGGGGTTTTTCCATGAATTATCATTCACACAAGTAAAAAGGCGAAAGACGTAAAGATTTTATACTGGTTTGGGCCTCCAAGGTGGATAATAGCCCTACATCCAGTTTTTTTCTTTTTTCATTTTCCTCTTTTTTTGGTATTTTTGTGCCGAAAGGCTTACATAATGAGAGATGCCGAAAGGTTTATACAATAGTATGCACATTTTTACAAGTTGGCGATTTGGGTGCCACCCGTTCTAGACATAGAAACGCTTAAGGGAAAAGAGCCTGTCCTGGACCTGTGCTTGATGAGGTATGGCCCTTCCCATTTCGATTCAAGCTTCCCGACCGGCACCGGGTTCGCCTTCTTCCTTAGGACGAGATGACTAGGCAACAGTTCTGTCGGTCGAATTTTTTTTGTTATAAGTTGCCGAAGTGCTTGCGGCGTATTTGCGCATGTGTTCCAGTGCTTCGACTCTTACCCCTTCAAGGAGTTCAAGTGACACCTCGCGCCCATCTTCGCCTCCAGAGAACATCACCCTTAGCGAATTAGCCCCTAGCTCAGTGGGGGTCATTGCTTCATCGCCATAGAGAAGTATGAATGGGCTAAACTTGGTTGGCCTTGTGGGGGTCGTTCGAAGGGCCCAGAGAACAGATAACATTTCGTCTGGCCATTTACCCTTCGCCTCCCCCTCAATCCTTTTCTTGAGCGTCTCTAGGATCTTGCCATTTGTGCGTTCGGCCCGCTCGTTTGACTGTGGGTGTGCGACCGAAGTGAACCTGTTTTCCAGGTTTAGCCTTTCGCACATCTCTCTGAACTTGTCAAAATCGAATTGCTTGCCTTTGTCTATGATGAATTCTTTCGGCACTCCGAAACGACAAAAAATGTTTTTCCATACAAACTTCTATACTGCTGCCGAAGTGATTGCGCCGAGTGGTTCGGCCTCGATCCAATGGGAGAAGTATTCAATGGCTACAATTGCAAACTTGTACCCATTTCGTGCCACAGGAAAAGGGCCAATGATGTCTAGCCCCCACCTGGCGAAAGGCTGGACTGGTGCGATAGGTTGCAGCTTGTATTGGGGTGCAGTTTGGCTTCGGCCATGCCGCTGACAGCTTTCGCACTTCTTGGTTTGTTCAACACAAACCTTCGGCACGGTATGCCAATACACACCCTGCCGAAACACTTTGGAGGTGACCATTCTTGCGGCTTGATGTGCACCGCACAGCCCCTGGTGTATTTCTTTCACCATTTCTTCGCCTTTGGCAAAATAGATACAGCGAAGCAAGGGTTGGAGCACCCCGGAGTGATACAGCTGCCCCAAGACCAGCTTGTACCTTGCGGCTCTGAGCTGTAAGCGCTTCGCCTCTGCTTCGTCCTCCGGGAGCCAGCCGTTCTTGAGGTACTTAACGAACGGTGTTCGTCAGTCCTCTTGGTCTTCGCCCAGTTCTGCCTGGTCGATTGCCATGATGTCCAGACTTTCCGCGGGCATGCTTGGTGCGTACAAGACTTCAAAAAAGATGCCTGGTGAATGCAGGCCTCCACAGGCAGTAGATTTCGCCAGGGTATCTGCTTCCTTATTCTGGCCTCTAGGTAAATGTTCGACCATTATGCTGGCGAAGCACTTCTTCATTCCTTCTTCTTTTGCCTCGAAGGACTTGTCAACATGACTTGCCACAAGTTTGGAGTCTGTTACGATGAGCAAGCGCCGAACCCCCAATGCTTTCGCCTTCATTAAACCCAACAGTACAGCTTCGTATTCGGCCGTGTTGTTGGTCGAGTCGAACTGCAGCCTTGCGGCGTACCAAATCGGCACACCCCCTAGCGAAGTGAGTACTGCCGCGGCGCCCGGCCCCCTGTGCGACCACGAGCCGTCGAAATGCATTATCCAAGGCTGTTCGATGAGCTCGGGTTCAGGGACGAATGTCGGTGTCCACTCGGCCACGAAGTTAGCTAGGACTTGGGATTTGATGGCGGTGCGGGCGACAAAATGTAGGTCGAAGGGAGATAACTCCGCCGCCCACTTCCTGAGTCGGCCAGTGATTTCTTTGCCCCGTAGCACTTCGCCCAAAGGATACTGCGATGGCACAATGACTTTGTGGGCCTGAAAGTAGTGCTTAAGCTTGCGCGAAGCCATCACTAGGGCGTAGGCCAGCTTTTCCATTTCAATGTATCGTGTCTTCGCCCCTTGCAGAGCTTTGGAGATGAAATACACTGGTTTCTGGCCTGACTCTGTCTCTTGGACAAGAGCTGCACTGACTGCCACCGGCGAAGCTGCTAGATAGAGCAGCAGTTCGCTTCCCGGTGCTGGGCTGATCAGGGCAGGTGGGCTTTGCAGATACTGCTTTAGCTCGTCGAACGCTACTTGGCATTTGGGTGTCCAACTAAACTTTCCCGCGCCCCGGAGGGTCTTGAAGAAGGGCAAACCTGTTTCGGCTGCCTTTGAGAGAAATTGACTTAGCGCCGCAATTCGGCCAGCGAGCTTTTATACTTCGCGTACGCTCGAGGCTTCATTTGCTGAATGGCATCGATTTTCTCGGGGTTCGCCTCGATACCCCTTTCGAAAACAAGAAAACCCAACAACTTGCCCGTGCGAACACCAAAAACACACTTCTCAGGGTTTAGTTTCATACTCGCTGCGCGCAAGTTGTCGAAGGTCTCCTGTAAGTCGGACGCATGGTCGAAAGACTTGCGGCTTTTTACAACGATATCGTTGACATAGGCCTCCACATTTCGCCCCAGCTACTTGTAAAGGACCTTGTACACCAGCCTGGCGAATGTTGCTCCGGCGTTTCTCAGGCCGAAAGGCATCCTGAGGTGGCAGAAAGTGCCGAACGGCGTGATGAAGGCGGTCTTGGGGATGTCAGCCGGATTCATGTGGATCTGGTGATAGCCGGAATATGCATCGAAAAAGCTCATGAGCTCACAGCCAGCTGTCGAATCGACAAGCTGGTCGATCTGCGGCAGGGGGAAGTCATCTTTCGGGCACACCTTTTTGAGGATTGTAAAATCAACGCACATGCGCCACTTGCCGTTCATTTTACTCACCAAGACCGGGTTCGCCAACCACTCCGGGTGGTCGATCTCTTCGATCACCCCCGCCTTGATGTCACGCCCAGAAATTCTCAAACCAGAATTTCTAAGTTGAATGTGCATTAAATCCCTGTCCAGGACCAGCCAGGGTACACAAACGACAATTGTTGACATCCAGATCCACGTCTTACAAAAATAGAAAAGATTACAAATGCAGCGGAAAAGATAAAAGCGAGCTAAACCGGGAAGCTTGACTTCAGCAGCGAGCGGCTCCACTCCACAGACAATCCTTGACGGCAGCGACGAAACCAACTTTGACAAAACAGCTCCAACTAGGAAGATCTTCAGCTCTGGTGTGGGGGAAAAGAGAGCAAGACTGAGTACTACCCACTGTACTCAGCAAGTCATACCGGAAGAGGAGGTATGATGCAGGATATAACCAAAGGAAGCTAGGGGTTCTTTTGCATAAAGCAGGCATTTCAAAGCAGTAGTTGAAAGCAGTAAAACAGTTGTAGTAATTAATCAATATTAACCAAACACTGTCCAACGCTACACCACGTTGCAACAGGCCCAACCAACCACCTGAACTACACCAGTTCATTAAGCTAAACTAGGGGTGAGACTAATCACGGTGAATCTGGTTGATCGCCCATAACCGCGGGCACGGCTATTCGAATAGTTTTACTCTGGCCAGAGGTGTACAACTGTACCCAGAAGACACGATTCCACACATGTCGCCATGCCCCGAAGTATCACCATGATACTGCAAAGGGGGAAATCGTGACAAGACCCTCCACATAACCCTCCCCTAACCATCCACACCACGCTAAGGTTTCACCCCCACCCCTCAAAAGGCAGTGGGCGGTCCCCTCTTGCGCCGCGGTGAATCCGGCAGCTGGACAACCGGACACCCCGGCCGACCCAACTCCATCACGCCCACCCTCGCCACCGGTGCCTAGGAAAGGGTCGAGCTATACTTCAGATCAAGCAGTTACCCACTCCCGCTTGTGGTAAGCACGGTGAGTCTCCCAGGGTTTCCCGTGAACCGGTCCTTAATTGCCATGGGTGCGTCCAGCAAAACCATGCACCCACAGCCCACCATTCAGTGTATTTTAATTAACTAACACCATTGCGGTGGCACCAATCTAAAGCTATGCCAATAGACGAAGTCTATGTAATAATGTGATCCCTTTTTGTGTACTAGTTGAGCTAAGCATGGCTAAGCATTTCCTAAACCAACATCTAATCATTTTGATACCCAGGTTATCAATGGCATATGGTAAACAATAAATGGCTGAGTAATAGGACCCATCCCTCATTACATTGTAAAAGAATGCAACATTTAATAGAAATGCGGGATATTGGTAAATTGGGTACAATATGATCAAACGTATTGCATGACTTGCCTTGCTCTCGAACTGATGAGACCTCAGCAACGTCTTCGAGAAACTGCGGATCGACGAAACGGCCGAAACCTACGCGACAAACAAAGCACACAAGCAAAACATGGTATAAGACTACAGAAACAGGAAACAAAACCATTTTTAATGGATTCTTTGCATTTTTCTTGATTTACTGAGACTTGAATGGACTTAAACGGAGCTCGGATGAATTACTTATGATTTTTAGAAGATAAACTGTGTTTTTACTAATAAAGAAAAGTCCTTAATCAATTTATTGCGCAATAAAGCCCAGGGCTGACGTCAGCAAAGGGGGGGGGGGGGCGGCGCCGACAGGCGGGGCCCACGGGTCAGCGGTTCAAGAGAGGGGAGAGAGAGGCGCCGGCAAGCGGGCCCACTGGGCAGCGGCTCAAAGGGGAGGGGTCGTCCACCGGCTGGTGGGCCCCACCGGGCAGCGGCACAGGGCAGGAGAGGGGCGTGGCTGCTGGCTTGGCACGGCTCAAGCCGGCCGGCCATGGCGAGGCGACGACGGCGCACGACCGCCGGCGGTGCGGGGAGACGGCGGCGGACGGCGCGAAAGGCGGCGGCGGACGGCCGGAGCGGCGGCACGGCCAAAGGCGGCGGCGCACGCGTGAATGGGAGAAAAGGGAGGGGGAGGGAGGCATCGGCCGGGCTCAGCTCGGCCTCAAGGCCGACCGGGGCGAGGCGGCGGCGAGGCACGACCACCGACGGCGGGGACCAGCGGCGCGGGAAGCGGCGGCGACGGCCGAAAGGTGGCGGCGCATGGCCGAAGCGCGGCGATGCACGTGCGGAGGGCGGCGGCATGCACGGGAGAGAGAGTAAAGAAAGAAGGAGAGAGAGGTAGTCCTCACCGGCGATGTGGGGGAATCGGGGTCCGGTGGCGGCGGACGGAAAGCGAGCGGCGGCCGAGGTAGCTCTCGCGGCGGCGAATCTAGCGGCGGTGATTGCGCGGCGAGGCGATGGCTCTAGCGACGGCAGCGTGCGGCCGGAGGCGGCGGCAAGCGGTGGCGCTAGCGGCGAGCGGCGCGGGCTCGTTAGGAGACACGGGAGGGGACGGCAAATGGGGGAAACGAGAGAGGGAGCTCGGGAGAGTGATTTAATGGGCGAGGGAGGGGAGGACGTGGCCGGGAACCCTCCCGATTTAGCCGGCGACGTGGGGAGGAGAGAGAGAAAGAGGGGTGGGATTCGAAATCGAATCCCGCCCTCTCGAGCGCGCGCGCGGGCCGGGAGATGCGGGGGAAGAGGCGGCGACGTGGGGAGGACGCGGGAGCGGCGCGGCGTGGGCGCGGGAAGAGCGGAGGAGGCGGTGGCGTGGCGGATTCGGCGGCGGTTGCCGTCGGAGGCGGGTGGCTGGAGGAAGGGGACGACCTGACAGGTGGGCCCCACCTGTCAGCGTCCCGGAGAGAGGGGGAAAGGGAACGGGCCGGCCCACAAGGGGAGTCCGAGCGCGGGCGACGGGTGGACTGGGCCGACGGCCCAAGAAGAGGAAAAAAGGAGGAAAAAGGAAAAAGAAAAAGAAGAAAGGATTTTCCTTTGATTAAAATTGCACTTTGGTGATTTTTAATTGGTTAAAATTATTTCCAAGGCTCTGAAAATTCCACTAAAAATCCTGTTAGCTTATTTTGGCATGTAGAATCCAAGAAAAATTCCACATGTTGATTCCGATTATTATTTGCATTTATTAATTAAGGAATTCAGCTCTAGGTTAATTAAGATAATTTCTTCGGGCAATTTATTTAACCAATTTTTAAAGCAAGAAAGGGGGAAACTTCTGGGCGTGACAAACCTACCCCCCTTAAACGGAATCTCGACCCCGAGATTCGGAAGAGCTGGCGAAGAGGTGCGGGTGGGTGGCCTTCAACTCATCTTCTCTTTCCCAAGTGGCCTCTTCTTCTGAGTGATGACTCCACTGAACCTTGCAGAATCTGATTACTTTGTTTCTGGTCCTTCTCTCGCTGGTTTCGAGGATACGAGTCGGCTTCTCCACATACGTCAGATCTTCCTGAATTTCGATGTGATCCGAACTTGCCTGTTCCTCAGGAACTCTCAAACATTTCTTCAACTGAGAGACGTGGAACACGTTGTGGATGCCAAGCATGTTGGAGGGAAGCTCGAGCTGGTAAGCAACTTCACCTCTACGTTCCAAGATCCTGTATGGTCCCACAAAGCGTGGTGCCAACTTTCCTTTGGTTTGGAAGCGATGTACTCCCCTGAGCGGAGTGACACGGAGATACACATAATCCCCTGTTTCGAAAGCGAGCTCCCTTCGGCGGTTGTCTGCATAGCTTTTCTGCCGAGACTGCGCGATTCTCAATCTTTCCCTAACAGCTCTGACTCTCTCTTCTGCCTCATTTAAAACTTCTGTACCAAACAATTGGCGTTCCCCTGTCTGATCTCAGAAGAGCGGAGTACGACACCTTCGTCCATACAGTGCTTCAAACGGTGCCATCTGCAGACTAGCTTGGTAACTGTTGTTGTAAGAGAACTCAGCATACGGCAAGCTTTTGTCCCATGCTCCACCAAAGTCAAGCGCACAGGCTCTCAACATATCCTCTAGTATTTGATTGACTCGCTCGGTCTGGCCATCTGTTTGTGGATGGTAAGCAGTGCTGAAATTCAACCGGGTTCCCAATTCTTCTTGTAATTTCTGCCAGAACTTTGAAGTGAATTGGCTTCCTCGATCAGACACGATCTTCTTAGGTACACCATGTAAACACATAATTCTTGCCAGATAGAGTTCTGCTAATTTCTTCCCTGAGTAGGTAGTGTGCACCGGAATGAAGTGAGCCACTTTGGTGAGTCGGTCAACGACTACCCAAATAGAATCATGCCCCGATGACGTCCTGGGCAAACCGGTGATGAAATCCATTCCGATTTCTTCCCACTTCCATTCTGGAATCTGAAGTGGCTGTAGCAAACCTACTGGCCTTTGGTGTTCTGCCTTTACTCGTTGACAGACGTCACAGAGTGCTACGAATTCAGCTATTTCCCTTCTCATGCTGACCCACCAAAACTTCTCTTTGAGGTCTTGGTACATCTTAGTACTACCGGGATGAATGGAATACTGAGTTTGATGAGCCTCGGTTAGTATCAGGTCTTTTAATTCCTTGTTTTCGGGTACACACAATCTTTCTCCCATCCAGATTGTTCCTTGTTCATCCTCAATAAAACCTCGGGCTTTTCCAACTCTCATGTTCTTTTTGAGCTCTGCTATTTCAGGATCGCTTGCTTGAGCTATGCGAACCTGCTCCACCAGTGTGGGCTGTGCCTCTAGGGCAGCCACGAATCCGTGCTCAACTATCCCAAGGTTCAGATGTTCCAAATCACGTTGAACCTCACAGCATAGTTGCTCTACCCATGCAACATTGCAGTAGCTCTTCCTGCTCAAGGCATCTGCAACCACATTAGCCTTGCCGGGATGATAATGTATTCCCATATCATAATCCTTGATCAGCTCCAACCATCTTCGCTGTCTGAGATTCAAATCAGGTTGAGTGAAGATGTACTTTAGACTTTTGTGATCTGTATATACCTCACAACGGTTACCGATGAGATAGTGCCGCCAAATCTTTAAAGCATGAACAACTGCGGCCAATTCCAGATCATGCGTCGGGTAGTTGCCTTCATGAGAACGCAACTGCCGTGAAGCATAAGAAACCACTTTGCCATC